CGATTATATGATCACAATCTAGATTGGAAGTCGATTAATCATATAATTTGAAAAATCTCACCTACATCCTGTATCTATCCTTTTGAGCTATCTGAATTAGAAGTTTGGATACCATATAATTCCCAAAATAAGCTATGCCGAAAATAAGCTACTTTCTTGTTTAAGACAAAAAAAGTAAAAAATATCTTTTACCTGAAAGAAGCTACCCCATAAATGATAATCGTAGCTACATAGTAAAGTCAAATTTTACTAAGTAAATCGACTTACCTTATTAAGTAAAAGTTATTTAGGAGATCAAAATACATATATCCTGAAAGTTTCATGTAAATTGAAGAACTTTTTATTAATTGACTTTGACATATTACGTTCGCCGAAAAATTTAAAAATTTCTTTAAAATTTATATTCGTTGAGCGTAAAAATCAAAAGTCAATTAATAAAAAGTTCTCCAATTTACATGAAACTTTCAGGATATATGCATTTTGATCTCCTGAACAACTTTCACTTAATAAGGTAAGCCGATTTACTTAGTACAATTTTTCGTAAATGACAAAAAACGGCTTTTACCCGATAATAAACTACCTTGGGTAATTTTTCACAAAAAAAAGGTAGCTTATTTTGGGAATTATACGGTAACTAAAAGTATAGTAGATAGTTTGTAAAGTATATACTAAGGTTTGAATGAACTTTATAAGAACAAAAATAAATAATAATAGCAGCTTTGGTTCATAAGTATTTGTCTTCTGACTTAGTATAAGTTACTGAAATAGATTATAAGTATGAAAAGCTTTTAAGTTTATTTAAAGACAAAAAGCTTTCTATAGGATATAAGCTTGTTTTAAAGTTTTAAGTTAGATATTCAAAAAATACGTATATACTAAATATTTTTACTAAGTTAGAAAATTAATTTTTTTTGTTAATTAGCCTTTTTGGGATTAAGATTTTTTATTTAAGTATTAGATAAAGAGGCTTACAATAAAGCTCTTTATTATACTGTATTAGAGAGTATAACTAGCTATATATACAACTTTTGGTTGCCTATTTAAGTAATTTGTCTGACAACATTATACTGTAGAAACTACACTAGATACTATGTCTATAACCCAACTAGAGGATTATCTATTTAAATTCTTTGTAATACAATTGATTTGTATCACTAGTATATCTCTGTTATATTTGTAAGTTAAGAAGTCTCAGATACTTCTCTATTTCCTTAAGACTTATTTATTCTCGAAGTATTGTTGTTAGAACTTTTATATCTATAAGCTAATCTAAACTTCAATAATTTATACTATACTAAGTCTAAGAACAAGTACTTGCGAATCAAAGCTGCTATTGTTATTTATTTGCTCTTGTAGAGTTCATCTAAACTTCAGCACTAACTAGATAGACTATTTATCATTTTTTTAATTTCTTTAAACTTTAATTCAAATAGTCTAAAAGAGCGATTTCTTTTTCTGATTACTCAACAGCTTGGTTGATGTAATGCTTTTGCTAAACACTTCAGGTTTATTTGGTTTTTCAGTTCACTAATTGATGATTCTTTATATTATATTATCAAAAGTCTGTATTATCTCTTTACTAAAACTTGACAAGTGGGCTTTTGTATACCTGATTTTCTGAATTAACCTAGCTGCTTTATTCAAGTTTTGTATAACTCATGTGTCATATTAGTTTTACAGCCTTCCAGTATGAGCTAGTGCAACCAAAATTATAGATGCTAACTTATCAGATTATATACAATTTTCTGTAATACTTTTTATAAAATTTGAATTTCATTGCTAATAGAATTCAAACTCTTGTTTTGCTACTTAGAGTGCAACAACTTACTAACTTCATTAAGTTATTACAACTTTAGTTAAAAAATTAATATATATAGATACAAAGAGTTTAAATAAATAATCTTCTAGTCAGATTATATATAAGTTTTTAGTATAGCTTCTATAATATTATATTGTTATGCAAACTATTTATAGTAAATTTTTTTTTCTATATTGGTAGCCTTGCCAGTATCTTTATTAGATCAAAGCATATATACTATATATTACAGATTCGACATCATTTGGCTGCTCTATTAGGTGCCTAAATGTGGTCTACTATATCAATTAAGGCATTATCTATATCAGAGGGTTGCACTAAGCTAGCCAGCAAAGCTATAATAAAATGGTCTTAATTTAAAGAAATTTTTATCAAAATTTTACTAACAATTAACCTCTTCAACTTTATCTTTTTTATTATAATAATAATCTAAATCTACTCTACTATCTAATTTAGCTTTGATTTTAATTACTATATATTATAGCTAAATTCTTTCTGTTTGGGCTTAAGTTCTTTCTTTTCTTCTAGTTTATTTTGTCTAAGCTGATAGGAAATCTGGCTCTTGGGAGTCTTTTTTTTGTTTTTCTCTTTGTACTTCTCTTTTCATTTCATAACTTCATATTCTTTCTCCTTTTCTAAAGCATTTATTCTAAAGATTTTTACTGAGAATATTTTTCTATAGACCTTCTCTTTTCTTAGCTTTCTTGACATTATTTTTGAATCTTCTGCTTCTAGGTCTTGATTAATTCACTTGCGTCTTCTTTTTTCCTTTCATTGAAACCAAGCTTTCAGGTTTTTTGTTTCTATATCTCAATTAGTCTATTTAGCTCCTTCTTCTTTTCTATTATGCATTTAAAACCTTTTCTTTTTCTTCTTTTTCCTAGAGTCTAGTTTTCTGTCTAGTAACTTCTCTTGTATTTTAATAAAAAACTTTTGATTCCAAAAAGTTCTATTAAAATTCGTTCTACTATTTCTAATACTATATCTTTCTTTTTTCTCTTTCAATTCTTAACTCACTTTAATCTTCCTGCTGATATATCTTGAATCAAACTTGTATTACTAATCTATTAGAATCTCATCTACTGTATCCATTCTACCAGCAAATCTTTCCTCTTTTTTTTTAATTTTTGCTATTAATCTGTGAGTCTTTTTTGCTTATTTGATATATTATTTTTATTATCTACTCTGCTGAGGTTAAAAATAAAGTCTTTGAACTTGTCTCTGCTTAAATCTGTTTCAAAGTTTTTGTTTTTATAGAGCCTTCAATGACTTGTTTTTTAATTCTCTTTTTTTGTTTTCTTTCTTTGGCTTTTTTCTCTTTCTCATGCTAGTTTGTCATAGCTACTTCAATAGATTCTTTAAATTTATTAACTAATACTTTCAATGATATTTTATTATGCTGCTTTTGTCGAATTTTTCTTTGTTCTTGAAGTTTCTTGCTCCAACTTAGTTCTAACTTTAACTTTATTTTAGTAGCTTGTTTTTTCTTTTGTCGAACTTGCATCTTCTTCTTTTTTTCCTTGATTTTCTTTTTAACTTCATACTGGTTTGTTACAAAGGTTTTAATAAATTGTTAAATAGTTGTACTATTATCTTCAGAACCATTTTATTGTGCTACTTTTATCGATTTTTCTTTTGTTCTTAAAGTTCCTTGTTTTAACCTAAATCTACTTTTAACTTTATCAACTCCATTTCAGCAGCTTGTTTTTCTTTAAACTTTATTATCTATCCTATCCTATTAGCTATTTTTAAGTCAGCTAGAATGTTGTTTATTTCTTGATATATAATATATCTAACTAGGTCCTCTTCTTTTTGTAGTGCTGCATAGTAATTATAGTTGCTTCTTTTTCTAAATGCAAGTTTTGTATACTTAATTTTACTTGAATCATATTTCTATAATTTTTCATTAAGTCCTGCTATTTGTGTTTCAGCTTTTTCTTTTATAATAAGTTTTTTCCCAGTGTATTCTGCTAATATTAGATCTATTGGGATATCTTTATTTTCATCAAGTGCCTTTACTTGTGCTTCAAATTCTTTTGATACAGTAATCATTCTTCCAGAACATTTGTTACTTTTTGTTTCACATGACTTATTGTTTTCCTATTATTGTTTTTTGTTGTTGTAGTTTATTGAGGTTATTTACCATTTTTGTTTATATTTGTCACATGGTTTTTGGCATGTTTTTTTTGTTTATTCTTTATTACATGTTATAATTTTTGAATTACTAAAACAGATCTGCATTACAGAGTCAAGGCCAATTCCTCAAAAATTCACAAAAAACAAAAAAAAAGACTGATAGTTTTGCATAATTTCTTCTATATCCTTGCTGCCTTTGCTCCTTTAACTCAAGTTTTTTAAGAGACTGAGTGTTTTTTGCTATTTTCTTTCTTTTTTTTTAGAGCTTCGAGTCTGGTTTTTTATTGAACTATATGTGTTTTTGAAGTTTTTTTAATAATTTTTGCTTATATAAATTTGTATATAGAGAATTAGCAGAAAGAGTTGAAAATTTATTATTAACTTATTATTTTATATCTACAGTAACTTTATTCAATTTTGAATAGCAAAGTTGTCTATAGGGCTCATATTTCCTAAATATAAAAGCAATTATTCATATCTAACTTTATTCAACTTGAATAGCAAAGATATCTATAATGCTCATATTCTCCAAATATAAAATTATTTTATATCCAACTTTATTCAACTTGAATAGCAAAGTTGTTTATAAGGCTCATATTCCTTAAATATAAAGTAATATTTATTTTATATTCAACTTAATTCAAACTTGAATGGTGAGGTTGTAATTAAAGCTCATATTTCTTAAATATGAATATTTCATATTCAATTTTATCCAAACTTAAATGGCAAAATTGTTAATAGGGCTCATATTCTCTAAATATAAAATATAATATTTAAATAATATTTATAGTCCAAATATTTTTTTCTTCTACTCTACAATATTTGTAAAAGTTTCTTGCTTTAAACTAAAACTATATAATTTTTAATTATCTCTCACAAAAAAAATTATAAAATAAATTAAATAAAGCTTCAACTATCACTTTAAACTATCCTAGACACCTTATTATACTAGGCTTAAATAAAAAAAAAATAAAAAAAAATAAAAAAAAATAAAGAATTACAACTATAAATTTAATAAAAATATTTTAACAATTTTTTAAAATGTTCTTCATTCAAATAATATATGTGTTTTAGATTTTAATTTCTTTGTTCTATAAATATTATGATATTTAACTGTTTTGAAAAGATGATAAATTCTAATCCACATGGCTCTGTTTTTAGAATTAATTTCTATTTCTTGATTATGAGGACAAGCTAATATTAGTGCTCTTAAATGATAAGAATAAGCAAGCATTTTAATTCGTTCACTATACTTTGCTTCAGTATATAGTTTATGAGTTTTAGAGAAACATTTATCCCAAGAAGTATTAATAAGCATTGGTACTTCTACAGGATGAATTTGACTTTTATCAAGAGAAGCATGTTTTAATTCTCTTAAAATCTTATTAAAATTTTAAAAGATATATTTTTTTAAAAATCTAAATTTTAACAGATTTGATTAAGAACTCATAATAAAAAAAAATATTAAAATATAATTGACAAAAAAAATAAATAAATAAATATAAAAATAAAAATAAAATATAAAAGAAAGTTGCAATACAATATTTTGAAAGTTAATTAATCTAATTAATTGTAATTACAATAATAATATTTTTTAAAAAAAATAAAAGTTTAAAATACTATCACCAGGATAGAATTAAATTTATAAACAAATTTTTAAATAAAATTTTAAAAAAGTAAAAAAAATTAATAGTGTTTAACAGAATTTAATTCAATAGCCTCCTAAGACACTATAAGGATTTTATAATAGGTCAATATATAAGGTGGCTCCTATTATCCTTTGTGTGTAGCCAGGTATAACACAAAAATGTTTGCCCTTTACAAAGAGTATTAGTCACTAGAACTTAATGATATTCTAAGATATAATCAGAGGAAATAGTACTAATATCCAGACTGTCAATGACTATATATGACTTTAAATTCTAAAATAATATATAAATTATTTTTTTTGAATATTAATGATAAGACCATGTCTCTGTTTTTATTGAAATTTATAAAAATTTTTTATATAGATATTATATAAAATATATTATTTAAAATAATAAAAATTCAAATTAAAAGTCAAAAAGAGAAAATAAAAATAAAATAAAAGAGATGTTGTTCTGTATAAAAGATAAACAACAAGAAAGAAAAATTTTAAAGAAACTATTAATTAAAAATCACAATAGACATAAAAAGTTTTAGGTTCTGTTATTGTCATCAAAACTGTAATATAGCAATACAGAGTCTTAATAAAGCTATATTACTTAACTTAATATATAAGAAGGTTAAGGAATGTATTTGCAAACAAGAAAAGAATAAAATTAGAAAGAAAACTAAAAGTGATTTTAAAGTAAAACAATAAACCAAAAATAAAAAAAAAGACAATGACTCTAATCCTAAAACATAATAAAATACTCAAGAAAAAAAAGAAGAAGCAATAGCTCAACTCAATATACCAAAAATAAGTACTTAAAGAAGAAAGAAGAGGTGATAGTTCAACTTTAAATACACAATAAAAGCACAATAAAAACTTTATTAAATATAATAAAAAGAAGGTAGATGATGGTTACACTTCTAAGAAAATTAATCAT